TAGCGAAGAGAAGATTATTTAAACCTCTAACGAATGAGAAATCTATGATACCATTATGTAGTTATAATTTTTTAAATATATAAGATTATAAATAATAAAATATATAGAATTGTAAGTTAATTTAAAAGAAAAATGTGTGGTTTCTATTAAATCTAAGAAGTTTCCTAAGGATCTGTAAGCCAAATCTTCCCATAAGAAATACATTGTGTATGTGTCGTCTGCAACCAACTTACCTGCTTTGGTGTGCCGCGATTTTAAAACGCCACTAAAAATATCATTCTATGCGGTCGCCGCCGTTAATTTTGAACGCCGCAGAAATCTTTGAATAGAGTGCCAAAGTGAAATGTTTACTCTTTCAGAGTAAATTTTTGTTTACGTATATTATAACAACAACAGTACTATGATGAAAACAACTACAAAATATAATGTAAAATAAATACCTTGATAAATTGATTGGAATTAAAATAATAAGGGCAACACGTATAAAAAACCTCAATTAATAAAATGCAACACAAATAGTAAAGTAAATAAACGAAAAATAAAAACACGATAAATATAAAATTATGAGTGGCAAGGTAAATTTTTAACCAGAAAATGAGTAAAAGTGAAAATAATTAACAAATATTTTATTGCAGCACCCACTAGTCACACATTATCTTAAGCCCCTGACCAATTAAAATTATAAATTAAAACAAAAAAACACCCAATTGACTAACTTCAATATTAATGGAAAATGTTACCCACATACGAACGTTTAGATGCTCCAAAGACCCTTATTAAAATAGCCTTCTCCAAATTAGCTATAGGCGCTATAAGTTTAGCACTAGGTGCTTTTCTATTTACCATATTTTGGACCTTAATGTTTGATTTTGAAAGGGCTACCTATACGCACTGTGATGTACGCAATTACCTGCCCTCTATATCAGCAGCCATAGGAAATTATGAGCCCCAAAAGTCTGTCTGGAGATTGGCCATAATATTACATTTACCCATACGCTTGGCTGTGTCACACATCTATTCGAAATACTATCGCGATCATATACGTAAAAATCGTCGAATTTTTGCTCACACTGCGGTCACATTGAATGTTATAGAAAATTTTGCTCTATTAAGTTTATCGCTGTGGACTTCATCGGATAATTATGAAATGCATCGGAATTCATTTGTTACATTTATCGCCTGCAGTGAGCTATACATGTTGATAACGTATTTTCTGCATAAAAATGGTCGTAAATTGCAATTAACGGCATTGGAGGAGAAATCGGTTAGATTTAAATTATATTTATTTCTTACAAATTTGGTGGCATTTGCTATGGCGGGTTATTTTTTCCTAAGACACAATGCGAAATGTGAACCGGGAGGTAAGTGGCGAAATTTCCTTTTAAAAATTTACTTACTTTTCTCTTCTCTTTCTCAGTTTATACCTTTTTGCTTTATTCGAGTATATAGTAGTTTTTAGCAATATGGGTTATCATATGACTGCTTACTGGGATTTCTTTGGTGTTAATATCTGCTTCGATTGGGAAAATGGTCTATATTTATCCCACTTATAGTTAATATTTTAAAATTGCTCCATTTTGACTCTAAAAAATATTGAAAATTTAAAAAATTTTCTTTATTTTTCTTTATCGATAATGTTATACATTTGTAAACTTAACTACTTTTAAGTTTAACATCTATTGAGGCTTATTTCTCTAGCCTTTATCAGATTTCAAAGTATTTTTCTTCCAAAAAAATTAAATTTTTAATTATTGTTTTTAAAAAAAATTAATAATAACATAAGTTACGTTCAAATTTTTGCCAGCTTCAGGGAATTACTTTTTTTAATAACAAAAATTGTACATACATTCATTTTTGTCCTTAACTATAAAACAAATTTAGCTAGCTTGTTTATTAAATAAAATTATATTTATACATTACATTTTATAACTTAAAATATTTAATTAATTAAGACAAAAGGCTACAATTTAATATAATTAAGAAAAAATAAAATATAGAAAACTACTTTCTAAAAGTCAAAAAAATAAGTTTGCAATGTTATGGTAAACACCACACGGTACAGTATTATCCATAAAGATGTCATTACAATAAAATGCAATAACAAATCCATAATCATGTAAGATATTAAGAAATACATAGTATTTTTTATTATTAATTTCACCCCAGTCAATTGTACTAAGCCCAATACAGTAAGTGCTAAGATTTCTGGAAAATGATATATGTCCGATATTGTAGGATTTTTTTGGAGGAATTTAATGGTCTAGGAAAGGATGGTTTGAATTTCTTAGATGGATAGATAGATAGATAGATAGTTAGACAATAGATAGATAGATAGATAGATAGATATAGTATAGAGATAGATAGATAGTAGATCGATATATAGATAGATAGATAGATGATAGAGATCGATAGATTGAGATAGAATGATGATCGCTAGAGCTCGTAGCTCGCTAGATAATCTCGATAGCTCGCTAGTCGATCGATCCTATTAGCTCGCTTTAGATCGCTCGATAGCTCGATTCGATCGCTCGGATCGATAGATCGCTATAATCTCGCTCTCTCGCTCCGCTGCTCATACGCTACTAGATCTCTCGCTCGCTCTCGATGCTCGATGGCTCGCTGCTCGCTCGCTCGCTCGCTCTCGCTCGCTCGCTCGCTCGCTCCTCGCTGATCGCTCGCTCGTCTCTCGCTCGCTCGCTCGCTCGCTCGCTCGCTCGCTCGCTCGCTGGCTCCTCTCGCTCGCTCGCTCGCTCGCTCGCTCGCTCGCTCGCTCGCTCGCTCGCTCGCTCGCTCGCTCCTCGCTCGCTCGCTCGCTCGCTCGCTCGCTCGCTCGCTCGCTCGCTCGCTAGCTCGCTCGCTCGCCTCGCTCGCTCGCTCGCTCGCTGCTCGCTCGCTCGCTCGCTCGCTCGCTCGCTCGCTCCTCGCTCGCTCGCTCGCTCGCTCGCTCGCTCGCTCGCTCGCTCGCTCGCTCGCTCGCTCGCTCGCTCGCTCGCTCGCTCGCTCGCTCGCTCGCTCGCTCGCTCGCTCGCTCGCTCGCTCGCTCGCTCGCTCGCTCCTCGCTCGCTCGCTCGCTCGCTCGCTCGCTCGCTCGCTCGCTCGCTCGCTCGCTGCTCGCTCGCTCGCTGCTCGCTCCTCGCTCGCTCGCTCGCTCGCTCGCTCGCTCGCTCCTCGCTCGCTCGCTCCTCGCTCGCTCTCTCGCTCGCTCGCTCGGTCGGTCGCTCGCTCCCCCGTCGCTCTCCACTCCCGTCGCCTTTTCCTACTTTGCCCCCCCGTCGTCTTTTCTTCCCCCTCGCGTGCTCTCCTCCCCCTCTCCTGTTTTGTTTCTCCTCTTTTCTTGTTTCCCCTTCTTCTCCTTTTTTTTTCGTCTTTGCCCTTTTCTCTGTTTTCTCTCTCCTTCCCCCTTGTCCCTTCGTGCTTTTACGCACTAATTACGTGATTTTTTAATTTCTACTTTATTCTGACTTTTTCATTTCTCCTTTACTATTCACGTTCTTACTCTCATTTACGGCAAACTTATGTGTTGCAACTGTCATAATTTTTCCACAAAATACTCTTTGAGTTGTTTAAAAAATCTCTTGGATTTGTTGAAATATAATTCGACTTTCTTTTGGTCACAAATGTATAGTTATGAAGTTATAGACCTTCGAAGGTTAAATATATATATTATCAATATCTTCTCTATTTAAGAACCCATCCGGACAATATATATATCATTAGAAAGAGCTCTGAAATACCTTTTCAACGATATATAATATGATCCTTTTTATTAACCACAATTCCACAAAAAGTATTTTTTATATAGAGTTTTTTGACAAAAATGCCGTTATTTCGTAAATCCATCGATATAACGTTACTGATATATATTGGAAAAATTGCAGAAGAGATTTCAAGCTTTTATTTGATGTATGGATATATACTAATATCTTAATAAATATAGACGATATTGTAGTTGGAATAAGGTAAAGTACCTAGAATTAATGTTTTTTATTTGATGTTAGTTAATTGTTGTTGTTTAAGTATTATAGTATTATAACTATATAAAGTACTAAACTAAATATACGTAAAGTATTGAAAATTACATCAAAATACCTTTCCAACGATATATAATAGAAACTAATTTATTAGCCTATTGAGAAGGATTAATATAAACTGTGCTTTTTATATTAACCTTTGTTAATAAAAGTTCTGTAATATCAAAAATTCATTCATAAGAAGGTACCGATTTATGTGTATTGAGTAAATTGCGATTTTTTGGGTAAATATTCGGAAATGGGTATGTAGCGCCGGACCTTAACCATTTTTTTTAAATTTTTGGGTAATGAAATGTAGTATTTGTAAACCCCTCCCCCCCCCCCCCCCCAAAAAAAAAAAACAAAAAAATACAAATTTTTGTGGGTAAACATTCGAAAATTGGATGATAGCGCCGCAGCCGAAAAATTATTTAAGAATTTTTTTGTCACAGTCTCTTTTTACTATTTTTAAACTTAAATATCATCCCCATTTATTAAGATATTAGCACATATCTATACATCAAAAGAAAGCTTGAAATCTTTTCTACAATTTTCTCGATATTTATCGGTACCATTATATCGATGGATTTATGAAATAACGGCACTTTCATCAAAAAACTCTATATAAAAAATACTTTTTGTGGAATTTGTTCTAAAAGGGTTAATATTATATATCTTTGAAAAGGTATTTCAAAGCTCCTTCTAACGATACCGGTTCATATCGGATCGGTTCATAATTAGAGAAGATATCGAATATATATAAATTTAACTTTGATGGTCTATAACTCCAAAACTATACATTGTTGACCAAAAGACATATATCACAAGTCATAGAATTGAAAGCTTTATATGTGGTATAAATTTTTTCATAATCGGAGAGTTATACCTATAATATTTATATTTAAGCCGAAAATCTGAGCGAATGCAGGAATAAATGCTACTTTTAAGCTTATTTACAGAAAATAAGCGTTTTTATGAGTTTGGTGTTTTTTGAAATTAATAAGTTGACAACGCTGCTTCATTATATATTATATATTTTTTCACAGACCCCAACTAATATACAGTAATTTGTGTTTACTATTTCTTATAAAAAAATCTTGTAGCAAAATTTATTCAGAGCTTGAACAGAAAAGAACCAAGAAATATAGAAAGTAAAGAAAAACAACTCATATAAATAATAATGTATAATAAATATAGTAAAAAATAGAATTGGAAAAAATAACTGTATCTTTGTTAAATACATCAAAAGTATAAAAAAATAATTTTACATTTCTTTCTGTTATATATTTCTAGTTTATGAATAATATCGAGTGATTTTGTGAAGAAAAAACTTTATAATTTCAACAAATAAAACTAAAACCATAAACCAATAGCGAAAATGACAATTATCACGAAACCCTCTATAGAAAAGGCTTTCAAATTACCTTTGCCCTTGGGTTTGGGTGGATTTGGAAAAGATCATTTGGAGAAATCTTTATTGGGGGTAAGTTCCTACGTATATAGAATATGTAGAAGGAAACGTAAGATTTTTGAACAATTATATATCAAATTCCTTGACATCTTTTGTCCTTGTGTACAATGCAATAATTGAGTTAATATGTAGAAGAATTTGGCTGATTTCATCAGTAGAGCAGCATTGAACGGACTTGTTTTATTTCATTCTTTTTCTGTTATTTATTATATTCTGTATCCTTGTGCTAGGTTTAGTCAAGTGCATTTATTGATTTTTCCCTTTTTGATTTAATATTTTGTTTTTCCTTTCTTTTCATATATAGCTGTCATTTACTGCGTCATGTAATATTCTATTACATATGTATGTAAAACATACATACATATGTATATAATATTTGTTATTTTTATATTACATAGCTGTATACTTATTGTACATAATATGTACAATATTATTTATTTATTTTGTTTGTTTACTTTTATTTATGGTCCTTTGGGCGTTTCGTAACCATGACCCATCTTTTATTTAGAAATAATTATCCTGTTGATTTTTATTCCCAATACTAATGTGTTAGTACGAAGGTTATTATGACTTTTTTTTCTGTTATATGTAAAGAATAAAAAAAATTGGTCCTACAAACACTTCAAAGTAAAAATTAGGTTCTATTTTCAACATAGTACTTTATATCGAGGTAGTGTACTGCTTAATCTGTCTTGACCGCTTATAGTTTCCTACTTGTTTTATTTAATATTTTATCTTTTTTGGTTTCATTTTGTATTTTTTTAAACAATATTTGTTTTATAGGTGCATATGTAAGCAGAAAGTTCTTTTGTTAAATGCGTATTTTTTTAAAAGATATTTTTTTATTGTGAAATCGATATTGTTGATATCAAATTTATTGCAAGGTGTTAATTTTCGTTAATCATAAAATAAGAGCTGAAGTGGTAACGACTTTTAAAATTTTAATAGGTATAAATAGCTTAAATTCGAAAATTTTATATTTTTAAATTGAAAATTTTGCTGTTATTTTGAACAAAAGTAGTAAAATTGCCCTAACAATAGAAACAAATTTCTAGTTCAGTTCTAGTTCAGTTCTAGTTCTGTTCTAGTTCAGTTCTAGTTCAGTTCTAGTTCAGTTCTAGTTCAGTTCTAGTTCAGTTCTAGTTCAGTTCTAGTTCAGTTCTAGTTCAGTTCTAGATCAGTTCTAGTTCAGTTCTAGTTTAGTTCTAGTTCAGTTCTAGTTCAGTTCAAATTCTGTTCTAGTACAGTTCTAGTTCAGTTCTAGTTTAGTCTAGTTCAGTTCTAGTTCAGTTCTAGTTCAGTTCTAGTTCAGTTCTCGTTCAGTTCTCGTTCAGTTCTAGTTCAGTTCTAGTTCAGTTCTAGTTCAGTTCTAGTTCAGTTCTAGTTCAATTCTAGTTCAGTTCTACTTCAGTTCTAGTTCAGTTCTAGTTTAGTTCTAGTTCAGTTCTAGTTCAGTTCTAGTTCAGTTCTAGTTCAGTTCTAGTTCAGTTCTAGTTCAGTTCTAGTTCAGTTCTAGTTCAGTTCTAGTTCAGTTCTAGTTCAGTTCTAGTTCAGTTCTAGTTCAGTTCTAGTTCAGTTCAGTTCTAGTTCAGTTCTAGTTCAGTTCTAGTTCAGTTCTAGTTCAGTTCTAGTTCAGTTCTAGTTCAGTTCTAGTTCCAGTTCTAGTTCAGTTCTAGTTCAGTTCTAGTTCAGTTCTAGTTCAGTTCTAGTTCAGTTCTAGTTCAGTTCTAGTTCAGTTCTAGTTTCTAGTTCATTCAGTCAGTTCTAGTTCAGTTCTAGTTCAGTTCAGTTCTAGTTCAGTTCTAGTTCAGTTCTAGTTCAGTTCTAGTTCAGTTCTAGTTCAGTTCAAGTTCAGTTCTAGTTCAGTTCAAAGTTCTGTTCTTAGTTCAAGTTTCTAGTTCAGTTCTAGTTTCAGTTCTAGTTCAGTTCTAGTTCAGTTTCTAGTTCAGTTCTAGTTCAGTTCTAGTTCAGTTCTAGTTCAGTTCTAGTTCAGTTCTAGTTCAGTTCTAGTTCAGTTCTAGTTCAGTTCTAGTTCAGTTCTAGTTCAGTTCTAGTTCAGTTCTAGTTCAGTTTTAGTTCAGTTTCTAGTTCAGTTCAAATTCGGTTCAAGTTCAGTTCTAGTTCAGTTCTAGTTCCGTTCTAGTTCAGTTCTAGTTCAGTTCTAGTTCAGTTCTAGTTCAATTCTAGTTCAGTTCTAGTTCAGTTCTAGTTCAGTTCTAGTTCAGTTCTAGTTCAGTTCAAATTCTGTTCTAGTTCAGTTCAAGTTCTGTTCTAGTTCAGTTCAAATTCTGTTCTAGTTCAGTTCAAGTTCTGTTCTAGTTCAGTTCTAGTTTAGTTCTAGTTCAGTTCTAGTTCAGTTCTAGTTCAGTTCTAGTTCAGTTCTAGTTCAGTTCTAGTTCAGTTCTAGTTCAGTTCTAGTTCAGTTCTAGTTCAGTTCTAGTTCAGTTCTAGTTCAGTTCTAGTTCAGTTCTAGTTCAGTTCTAGTTCAGTTCTAGTTCAGTTCTAGTTCAGTTTTAGTTCAGTTCTAGTTCAGTTCAAATTCGGTTCAAGTTCAGTTCTAGTTCAGTTCTAGTTCCGTTCTAGTTCAGTTCTAGTTCTAGTTCAGTTCTAGTTCTAGTTCAGTTCTAGTTCAGTTCTAGTTCTGTTCTAGTTCAGTTCTAGTTCAGTTCTAGTTCAGTTCTAGTTCAGTTCTAGTTCAGTTTTAGTTCAGTTCTAGTTCAGTTCTAGTTCAGTTCTAGTTCAGTTCTAGTTCAGTTCTAGTTCAGTTCTACTTCAGTTCTAGTTCAGTTCTAATTCAGTTCTAGTTCAGTTCTAGTTCAGTACTAGTTCAGTTCTAGTTCAGTTCTAGTTCAGTTCTAATTCAGTTCAGTTCTAGTTCAGTTCTAATTCAGTTCTAGTACAGTTTCAGTTCTGTTAAAGTTCTAGTTCCTGCTTAGTTCTAGTTTAGTTATTTCAATCTATTGCACTAGTTCAGTTTATTGACTAGACACTTCTGTGATCTATATTATTATTTAGTATATTGCTTGTAAAATAATATAAAAGAAAAAAAATACATTTATTTTTAAATGGCTATCTTAGTAAATGAATATGTGAATCACCAATTTTGTTAAATACTTTTTGTAACCACAATGTTCTCTTTTTGTATTAATATTGATAATGTTAATATGAATATTTATATTTTTATATTTATTTCATAGAACTTTCCTAACAAATTTGATCCGAAATTTTTAGATAAGATCATAAGGTACACGGGGATTTAGGTTACTGTCTTTGTTTTTGTACACCTTTCTTGAAATTTTGAAAGTAGTACATATACAATGGTTCATAGTTATTGTATTGTATAAATTTATTTACACATACAAGTTTAGTGCTGTTTGGTCAGTCGATACATAAGAAATGTGAATTCTACTACAACAAACATACTTACTTATACCTACGTTCTCTATTATTTTTAATGGACTTTAGCATCAATCTATAAAATTTACGTTAATTTAACGTTTAAGTAAACAAAAGGCTTTATTATTAAAAAATAAAAAAATTGTAGGCTTCGTTTTTTAAGTTTTGTTTTTATTTTTGCATTTAAAAACATTTTGCTTTTTGTTAACTCAAAAATTATATTTTAAATTGCAATAGTTCAAACCAATTTAACGTTGTTTTTTGAATTTGTATTTTACTATTTTTATACGTATATTAAATTTAAATTTTATCTTATCATTTGTTTTAGTAATAAATTAAAAGGTTATAAACAGAATTATAAATGTTTTTTTTTTTTCTAGTTTTTTCTCTCTTTGTTAACAAAAACTAATGAATAGTAACTATTAATTAATATTTAATTTATAATAACTAGTAGTTTTTAAAATGAAAATTTGTTAAGCGATTCTGAAACCCCTCAATTGTAATTGTTATTAATGCTATCGTAACTTTATTTAGAACTTTGTGTTTAAATAGCTTTTATTATTTTATATTAGTTTTCTCTATAATAAAGTTCTTTTTGCATATAGATTTTATGCAATTATAAAGTAATGT